CAAAACTTTTCCCTGAGCAGTCCCCATTCCCTGACATTTGCCTTTTCATCCTGTCATACAGCCTTGTTTGGCACATAAAGCTGGACGGTGACTGGAAGTGTAGACACAGCACAAGTTTGGCACTTCTGTGACAGGCGTAGCTCGGAGAGAGATGGGACAGCAGTAGCACTGCTGCCTCCAACTGCTCCAGCAGGGCTGGCTGGACGTTGTTGGAGGGAGAGCTGAGACATTTCTATTTCCAGGTGTGTTTCCCAGCCCACTGCTCTGTCTTTGAGTGTCTCCCTGTTTTGGTCTGCCCTCCCATTTGAATTTCCCAGAGGCTGTGCACACAAGGGTGCAGATTTATGTAACTGCTGTGGAAGCAAACAGATGTTTTGGTTTCTACTTAGAGATAATCAGGTAATAGTCCCCAATTCTGGTTGTTTTTCTTGTCCATTTGTGGCTTTCTATTCAGGTTATTAATAAGAGAGTAAAGATAATTTTGACCACAGGAGTAAATGCCTGGAAAAATACCAGGGGAGTGGCAGGTCTCCATTGACTGAGGACAGCCTGGCTCCATTCTTGTCAAAAATAATGAGACATTCTGAGTATATCAGTCACAACCAAATATATATAAAATAAATCAAGCTATTGCAAGATGTTTTTTTCCTTGAAAAAAACCCCAGAATATTAATAGCTGGACAAAGTCAATTACTGCCTACTCTTTCCTTAGTTTCCCATGTACACTTCATCATGGAAAAGGTTTTGAGTGAAGCACAGATGATACCTTTGCAGCTTGTTCAAGAATTTAAATGAAATTTAAAGATTTTATACCTATAATAGCAGCTCTTACTAGAAAAATTATATGACGAATCTTATTACAAAAAAATGAAGGCTTTATTTTGTGTACTCACTGCAGTGGGCTGTAGTTGTATTGGTTCAGTGATGTTTTCTTGGCATCTAGTTACTTATTTATAAGACATGGCAGGGATAAGAATGGGAAAATTCAGATGTGTGCTTGTGAGTTGTGTACTGCTGTCTGATTTACCTGAGGAGGAATTTATATTTGAGGCACTACAATAAATTGTTTGCTCCTTCATCAGCAGTGCTGGAGGGAAGACTTAGATTTGAAGACAGGGGAAAAGTATCCCCCAGTTCTTGCTTGAAACAATTCCAGACCAGTTTGGCTTTGGATGAACAGCTCCATTTCAGTGAGTGCTTAAAATTGTCACTGAACCAATTAAAGCAGTATTTCTGCATTATGTTGTAGGATAACTACAAAAGTTAAGAAATTATTTGTCATTTAAATATGGAAATTTTAAAGAAAATCTCTATAATTTTGCCTTATTACTTACTGAGGAAATGTCATATGTGATTCAAATTAAAAAGCTTATGTGTTGTGTTGCATCTGAGAGATTATGGCTTCCAGGCCCTGTGTGGATTGAAAGCACAAGCTGAAGATTTTTCCACCATAGCAGTAAAACCCCAGCTGTGACATACCCAAGTGTGGGAGTAGTTCTGATAAATAGTCTATCATACCTGTTTTGTTTGGGTTTCTTTTTTTCATCCCTGCCAGCTGATTTATCTTGCTCTGGCTTCAGCAAGGCTGGGAACAGAACTATTTCTGCAGGGAGAACATTGAGAAGTGAAGAGATGCTATGGGAAGCGTGCTGTGGCCTGTGCTTCGGACCAGATGAATGATGTGTGAAGATTAGAGAATTACTTTGTAATGGGAGAGAGGAAATTGTCATTGGCTTCCACTCTGCTTGTCAGCCTCAGCTCTGTGGTGACTTTTTCACTGATGCAAAGCTAAAACAGATCTATGAAATGAGGCCTGATCACCCTCATCCATTGTGTGGGCTGTGCAAGCCTACAGGCAGCTGCACAAACCGGAGCCTGGCACCCTGCAGCTGGGTAGGGCTGCCACGGGCATCTCCAGGCATCTCTGCTCTCTGACATGAAGGGAGCCCAGGTAATTGGAGCTGTTAATCAGTGCTGAGTTTCCCAAGAACAATCACACAAGGGTAGTTCCTTCCTTCAGCCTTGCCTCTGTTACAAATGGTTGGTTTAGGTGGGGTTACTTGAAACACCTGGGTGCCTCTCTTCTTTGGCTCCTTTGGTGTTTTGGCTAGACAGAACACTGTGCTTCCAGTGCTTCTTCTTGACTTGCAGACTAGGCAAATTGAGTCAATCTAGTTTGGTAACCTTCTGCATTGAAATACTTTCTCAGTGAGGTTTGTTTCTTTGTATTTTTTTTTATATTTTTTTTCCTTTCAAATTGAATTCCATCTTTTAGTTACCAAAAAAAAAAAAGAAAAAAGGCAGTGTTTGTTCTGTCCTTCTGTAGAGACTGTTTTTCTGGTGGTTTATTTATTTTTTTTTTTTACTAGGTTCTTACATGGTACCAGAAATAGGAGGTATTTTAAAAGCAACTCTTACAGGTAGGTCATATTCTGATGGAGCCATTCCAATTTTCCTGCAGTGTGCTGATCAGTAAGAGCAAATGGAGGGAGCTTTCCATTCTCTCTGCTTAGAAAAATGCATCAGATTGATAGACTTCAGGGCTAGAAAGGAATTCAGAACATCCCCATCTCAGTACTGAGCTTTCTGTGAGAATAAATCTAATAAAAAGAAACATTTTATAAAACTTGCTTTACTATTTAAACTTACCTCATTAGTAGATATGCCAAGGCTCTTTCACTTCAGGGTATTTACAAGTCAGCCTGAGAGGTTAAAAAATTGTTGTGAGAAATGTTAAAATAGGCAATATTATAAATAGCTAAGGCAAGGCAGCCTTTCTTTTGGGAAGTGTTGAATATATGTACCTATACCACTGATGTGAGCGTTTATAACATTGTAGGACTGAGCACTGTACTTTAATGCTTACTGATAGGGCTTCTTCCTGTCTGGTTGGTCTTGAGGGAACTTGGATTTGCAGCTGCCATACCTGCACATCTAAGAGGAGGTTGGCTTTTAGTGGGAAGAGGAAAAAAGGCTCAGTACTGATTGTGTAATCCTGCCCTAGAAGCAGGAAATAAATGGAATTGTGGCTAATATTTATTACTTTTAGAAAATGCTGCCTCTTAAGACTGTATGTTCTGGCTGCAATATCTAAAGCTTTTGGTACTGGAGTTAAGCTAACCCTCAGTGTGTTTTGGGAGCAAGTCCCAGCAGCTCCCTGCTAACAGCTCCATGTCCCTTTACTGTCAGTGCAGGCCTGACACTTTTTAAGAGCATGAGGAATGCAGGTGTTCTGTGATACCATGTTAGGTATAATTCATCTGCCTTCTCAGACAAGGCTAATGAGTGGGCTTATGTAGTATTTGCTTTATTCATTTTTAGAACCACACAGTTGTCAGTGAAACTCATAGTATGGTATGATTTCATATTAATTTCTGCCTTAAATTCCAGGTGGCATCTACTGAATTGGATTGCTAAGTGGGCATTATTATTTGCTTATTTTGTTATTGTCTGTAGGAAAATAGTTGGCAAATATCTTTAGCCTTTATTAAATTTCACTTTAAAGTCACAATGGCATCACTTTTTAACTAGGTACAAACAGCACCTATACAGTTAGCATGCAAATTGTATATAATGGTGTGGAGTTTGTGTGGGATGCATAAGAAGTTTGTTGTTGGAGTTTACATTGCACAGTTATAAAGATAATAAAATGAATGTTATATGATGTGTAATATGGTGGTATGAGGCAAAGATGTATGTAATTGTAATCTCTCATCCTTAGTTCACAGTTTAAGCAGTAACTATACCAGGTTTTTTCCTTTCTGTTATCTTTTTGTGATGAATCCAACATTCTTGTTACTTTAGTGCAACAGCTCAGACATTGCTGTTTGTGAACATCGGTGACAAACATTACCACGGTTAACAATGTACTTCTTTTTTCTCCAAGAAAAGACCTAGGTATCAGTGTTGGCATTTATGATTGATTTTTAATTGTAAAATCAGTTTTCAGATATATTTCTTTCTTTTTCTTTTCCCCCTCTATGTTTAACTTATTTTTATTGCCTGTTTTCCCTTCTTTTATTGCAGATGGTATTGGATATTCCCCTGAAAAGACCACAAATTTGAACTCAAACCCTGCCCACCTAGGGTATTGAGAATTAGCAAGAAACAAGGACCCTTAGGTGGAGTATTTCCTGCAGTCTTTCCTGTTTTGGGAGTGGTACAGCTTGTTCAAAGCCACATGGTAGGGTTGTAGAAAGATGGGGTCTCTATTGCTTTTCAGCTGATGCAGTGCAGCAGTGTGAATAATTTTGTTGTTGTTTTTTCCATTTGTGTTTTTTTTTCTGACTTCACCTCCTAGTCTTTGGGATGGAGTAAAAAGGCATGTGGGGGTGGCTGACTCCCTTCTCCCTCATGCACAATATTGGTGCTGCTATGAGAACATGGAAGATACGGCAACAGTCTGAGTTGTTAACTTCTCATAGAAACAACTTCTGGTTAACTGTTCTGCCTAGTTGATGGAGCTGATGCACCAGGGTGTAGTGCTAAGCTTTCTCAGCCTGGGACTTCCCACAGTTTGAAATGTTCCTTCTTTTTTCCCCTGTCTGGGTCTTGGATCTTCAGGGTTTGCAAGAGAACAATGGTTTGTTCCTTTGTTCTTTTGAAACCGTTGAGTGCTTAGATTCTGTGGTACTAAACAGAATTGAAGGATGTGGAAAATAGATGTAGTTTGTGCCTGAAAATTCACCAAGCTTGTGTCTACCATACTGGTAGTTTCTCTTGCTCCAGAAGCAAACAGTACATGAACAATCCACATGGTTTTCTTTTTGTGCATGCAGGTCAGCTTCAGAGGGAGTTGCTGCTGGTTGCAAGGACATTTTCAGACCTACACAAAACCAGATCTGACTTTGTGGTCTCAGTGGTGGTGTAAGCCATGAAGTCATGTTGCAGATGTGGTGTGTGTTCAGTTTTGCTTTCACTTTGAAAGGTAAGTGGCTGAGTCTCATGCAATGCGTCAGTGATGTCCAAATTGGAAAAAATAGTTCAGCTGCACAGTGTTTGATATCCTGCTGCTGCTGTTCAAGGCCATGGGTTTTATGCAAACACAGGCAGCCAGACTAGCTTGCCCAGGTGCCACTGGCAGCTGTCAGGCCAACTGAGACACCTTACAGATTTTCACACAAGTTACAAACAAGTTCTCATGAAGGCATAATTCAACTTCAAGAGTTGCAGTTGGGTCTCCATGGGGAACATCTGGTTACATTTTCCTGCAGAGATAAATGCTCCAAAAAAAAAAAAAAAAGCCCTGAGCACTTGCCCTTTTTAGTTTCCAGGATATCGACTTGACTAAATTTCTGGCTGGCAGCACTGAACACAGTCCTGCTTTGGGGTTTCTTGAATAATCAAAGTGAAGCTTTTTGTTCCTGACTTGCTCCTGAAAGAAGAGAGCCAGAGTGAGGGAAGCCTGTCTGCATCCATACACATCAAAATCAATAGAGAGGCTTTCATGTTTCCCTCAAAAAACTCCTGCACCTTCCAGAAAAACTCTCAGCCAAGTCAATTAGAGGAGGTCCATGTGATGCTCCAGAGCTGTGGTATGAATCATGGCTCTCTGTGTCTGACAAAAAGAGTGTTTGAGAGCATCTACAGGAGGAATTCTTTCTTAGAAGCACTTACCTCTTATCTGAATCCCTGCATGACCTGCTGCAGCCAGGCAGAAGCACCCGACAGGCTCCTACTGTGCCAGCTCAGCCTACCTTGCTCTTACCCAGGAGATGCAAGGTCTAAATAGTCACTTCTTTCACTGTGCTTGTCCTTGTACCACCATGCTAGACTGACTGGCTTTTTAAGTAGAGTAATAGGGTTTTGCATATTTGAGGCTGCGTTTCTGGAGGTATTCAGATAGACAATGCTTCAAAGTGAGCTGAAAGTTGGTTTGGATCAGTGCTTATGCTTAGCTCTACTGGTTGATTTAAAAGAATATTTATATATCCTTCAAAGCACAGATTAGGCAGAGAGCTGGTGACTCAACTTTTTGTTAGCACCGCTCCCTGTGATAGTGGCTTGTCTACTGTGAAAGCAAGTCTCCATATGCATCCAGTTAGTGGTGAAAGGCTGGAGCTTCTAATCCTAACCTAATACTATATTGGGACAGATTCTTTGTGTTCTGGAAGTGGTATTATTAAATCATAAATGGACACTAGTGATGAGAATGGGAGAGAGCTCTGTATGTGGCCCAATGAATCCCATCTGCTTTGAGGTGGGAAGAAACAACATTTTTCAGATTGTTCCTATACTCTATTCTGAAGTTTTCTGCAAGTGGATTTCAGCTGTTTTTGCGCTACTAAAAGAAGGGAGGTGACAATGGCCGTAAGTGATGCCATGTGAGGAATATTTAAATGAAAGGCTCCTCTGGAAAGTGATAAAAAAGAAAAACAGCCTTTAAACAGAACTAATCAATGTTGTCAAGAGGCACATCATCAACAAAATGTTGAGGAGAAGGGGAGAAAAAGATGGTAGGAACCCTGTGGAGCTCCATGTTTTGTCAAAAAATGAAACACAAAGTCTTGTAATAAACAACTGACAGAGCTGAGATGGGAGCAAACTAGGACAGGGATCCTAGGGTTTTCTCTGTGCCACTTCCTTCTCCCAGAGGCAGGAAGTTTAGTTGCTTTAGTTGATTAAAGTAAGAAAGTTTCTGTCTCAAGCTTAATCAGATATTCTCTCTTTAGTTTGAAGAAATGGAAAAGCCAAGGTACTTTTAGTTAGACTTACCTGTTTCTCTTTGTCCATAATGAATGGGTTGGAAGTACAAGATGGGAAACATCCTCAGCTTTGAACTGCATTGCCCACAATATCCATGTTTTTTTCCTTCTCCTCTGTGCTTCATGCTATTTATTAATGCTGGAGACTTTCTGAATGGCTAAGGGGAAGGTGAGGGTAATGTGGTGAAGCTTCTTGTCCTGACCCAAGAATGGGGTTACTTCCCTCCCCAGCCCACCCCTTCACATTTCCTGCTATCAGTTTGCACATTCTGAAAACAAAATCAGTTTGGATTGAAAAATAGATCCATTTATTGTTTTAAAAGCTTTATAACTTGCCAGTCAATTTTTTTGGTATGTGTTTAAAGTTCTGAACATTGTATTTAAGTGTAAAGTTTACTTTTTCAGGCATACTACTTATTTAAAATTGCTTTGAGGCATTACTGCCAGCATTTGGTCATGGTAAAATAGCTGCAGAAAGAACCATTTTACAAATTTGAAATGCTGTTCACATTACCTAAGTGAAAGTGTTTCTTATTTTGTGCCTGATTTTTTGTTCTTTATGGTGGCTCTCCTAGCGCTTGAAGCATTAGTCAATCCTGCTGGGTTTTAACTGAATCCAGAACTACCCAAAGCTCAGCTTGCTTTCAAAAGTATTTTGTAATATGTTTCAATTTGGACTTTCTGACTCTAGCTACTGCAGCGCATGTTTTGTACAGAGATATGCTTTCTTTTGGTCTGCATAAAACTGTCTCATATTCGGAAAAAATACTCTGCAAGATGCAAGGTTCTAGTACAAAATGGTGGTAATGACAGAGACACCTATCAAGATAATTTCATGATGCTCAGTGTTGCTTTGCAGTTTTTGTTAATCTGTAAGGGAAATCACTCCAATTTTATTTTCCGTCTGTAGTGGCATATTGAGCCTGTTTATCAGCATAGAGAAATTTAGGTTGGAAGGGACCCCTGGTGGTCATCTGCTCCAATCTCCTACTCAAAGCATGTTTGACTAGATCAGGTAAACTTTTCCTTTTGTCTAATATGAATTTCCCGTTACCCAGTTTTTGTCCATCCCTTTTTGTCCTCTTACTTTGCACCTCTGAGAAGAGCCTGGCAGCAGCATCTCTGCACCCTCCAAGTGTAGACAGCACTTAGGTCTCCCTGCAGCTGTCTCTTCTCCAGGCTGAACAAACCCTTAGGCTCTCGTGCCTCCTGTGCTTCAGCTCCCTAAACATCTTGGTTGCCTTGATTGCCCCAGAGTCTGTGTCTATAATCAGGGGAAAGAATGGGAGGGGATGGGATAGCCTTGTCTGATGAGACAGTGGTCCAATAGATGAGAAAGAACAAAAACCCAAAAGCTGTGCTAGGTCTAGTCTGCACTAATGCATTTCATATCCACAGGTCTGTACTTGCTGAGGTGCAAGATGTCTGCCCTGAGGCTGATCTCCAACAGAACCTCCCAGCAGGCCTTGTCTAACTCTGATTACACCTGGGACTATGAGTACTATGAGTATGGACCAGTGTCATTTGAAGGCCTGAAGGCTCATAAGTGTAAGTTCAGTAGAGACACACTTCATGCAGCTCAGCTTCCTCTCTACATGTTCCTGTTCTTCACTTGGGACTTAAAATTGTACAAAAACGTTTCACCCCTAGTACCTAGGATTCTCTGCAATTAGCAGTATCCCTTTATTTATTAGACCATCATTATTATTTATTATTCTGTATAATTTTGTTGATTTTTTCTTGTGCATGAGAAAACCATGGATTTATTGGCCATGGTAGGAATTAATCAATACTGGGGAATATCTGACTGTTGGGAAAAGTTAGCAACAACAAATACAGATACACTGCTGCTTCTTGTGACTACTTGTTAAGATCAGTGCTGCTTTGTTTTGGTTCTATTTGTTCGTGTTTTTTTCTGTTAATGGTAAAAAGGCAGTGGTGGGGAGCCTTACCTGCATTACCAGTGTTTGTTTTTAATGATAGAAAATAAATTTTTGGTTTTTAAAAGGTTGAAAATAAGAGAAGAATTTTCTCTGTATGAACAAACTTACCATTGGTACTTTTTTCATAGGAATGTGCAAAATTCACTTTGCTGTTAATACGGGATTTCTTTTATAGCAGAAGCAAAAAATGGAGTTTAGGTACCAGAAAGATGAAAAATGTGGATTGGAACTTGGAAAAAGTGTAACCAGGACAAGCTAGTAAAGCTGGACCAACATTTTTCTAAAAACTATACAATGGATTTGATGATCTTTCCTTTTAGAGGAGATAATTGTGAGGGGCAAACAATAAAAGAGAGGGGAAAAAAGTAATAGAAACCAACTTAATTACCTGATGGGTCTTGCAAGCCAAAGAGGAAAAAAACATCCTGTTTCTTTGTTTCTGAGGTAGAATACACTGTGAAAGGGTTTGATCCCCAAACTTTAAAGTTTTGGGGAAGAGTCCCGATCCAGTGCTGGAGCACTGGTCTAGGATGGATTATGTACTTTGTCTCACTTCTCCCCATGAGCATTCAGATTGGGAGAAAGTTTGACTGCGCTGGCAAACAGCAGCCCAGAAAGGCTGATCTCTCTTGCCTCTACACATTCAGAAGTTTTGGGGAGGCTCTGCAAGGGACAGAAGAAACTTGTTGAAATTACTAGCACTTCTGAAAAAAAATAGAGTAGAATTTGCTTTTTACTTTTCCCCCCAAAGAAGTCTGCTGATCACTGTCTGTATTTTTACAAGTGATAGGTAGTTGAAAAATGTGGGCTAGCTTTCATCATGTTTTTAATTTATCTTCCATTCTTCCACTTAATCAGAGGTTAAACCTGATTGCAAAGATTACTGGTTGCAAAGATCAGATGAAATGTTATGTACACGCAAGATGGACCAAAAAGGTATAAATTACATCTGCCTCTGAATTGCAGAAAGCACAGCTGCAAATCAGGTCTTGGATTGCCATCAAAGTGATTGCCATGCTGAGCATGGCAGCTGAGCTTCCCTGTCTGCTGTTCGTAGAGCAGAAGGTGCTGGTCAGCTCTCAGAGAATGGGACAGAAGTAACAACTGCTTTTCAGGTGGAGCTTGATGAAAGATGTCATTAGTAGTACTTGAATCAGTGATCTAGGAAGTCCCTTCTAGTTATGGTGGAATTTCTTTAATTTTTTTTTGCTTCTTTGTTTGTTTTAAGTGATAGATTGGAGTTGGCTCTGTTTCCTTCACTGTTATTGCGTGCATTCCCCAGAGGGCAGAGTTTAATCTACTGAAGGAATAGTCTGTGTTGTGTATAGGATGATACTTCTTGACATGGCGTGTTCTTGTTCCAGCTATTGCCAGCTGAGCTGAGATTGTTGTGAAATGTGGAGGCAATGTGACCAAACATGAACTTCTCCAAAACCCTACACTGGGGAGAAGAAGAGATTAAACAAGGGTTGTATGAGAAGGGAGACCTTGAATACTTACAAAGAAAAGGTGTCAATAAATGCTTGTAATTATGTTGGAGAGCTCCACAGGTAATGGACTCTAGTTTGGGTGATATGATTTAAATACAAAGGAATTCAGAATTCTGTTTCCTGAGAACAGAGAAAAATTTATTCCAAGTGACCTGTGAGAAAAAGGATTGACAAAATAATCCACTACA